TCCATCAACTGAACAGATAAACAACATGTGGTGTCACCATATAATGGAGTGTTGTCAGCAATAAAAAGAAATGAAACACTGAGCCACGTTACTACCCGGATGACCCTTGAAAAACCTTATGCTAAGTGGAAGAAGCCAGTCACAGAAAACTACATGGAGTATGATCCCATTTATGAAATGTCCAGAATATGCCAATGTAATCAATGCAAAGTAGATTCGTGGTTGCCAGGGGCTGGGAGGTTTGTGAGAAATGGAGGGACAGCTAATGTGTACGGAGTTTCTTTGGGGATGATGCAAGTGTCACGAAGTTGACTGTGGTGACGGTTGCACAATTCTGTGAACTGCACACCACTGAACTGTACGTGTTAAATGGGTCAATTATATGATAAGCAAATTTTATCTCAGTAAAGCTGTTAAAATGGTAATAGAGCCCTGGCCATGTAGGTAGGTGGTTAGGGCATCATCCCAATACATCAAGGTTGCAGGTTTGATCCCTGGTCAGGGCACACACAAGAATCAGCAAATGGGCCCTGGCTGGTGTAGCTCAGTGGATTGAGCACAGGCCTGCAAACCAAAAGATCATGGTTCGATTCCCCGTCAGGGCACATGCCTGGGTTGCAGGCCAGGTCCCAGCAGGGGCCAGTTCCCAGCAGGGGCTGCACCAGAAGCAACCATACATTGATATTTCTCTCCTTCCCTTCCCTTCTAAAGATAAATAAAATTTAAAAAAAAAAGAATCAACAAATGGGCACTAAGTGGAACAATAAATCAGTGGGGCAATAAGTCAATGTTTCTCTAAAAATCCATTTTTAAAAAATGTTAATAGTAGTAATGTTTGGGTAGCAGGATTATAGGAAGTTTTGTTTTAGTTTAGACTTATCTTTGCTTTCTAACTTTTCTACAATGAGTATGATCATTTTCAGAGATTAAAAAAGTCTTCCCACGCTGTCATACAAAAATTTTCCAGGTTATCCTTCAGAAAGCACTAAACACATAAAAGATTTGAAAAAGGTAATACGCCTTTCCTTACAGTGGAAAAACTGCAAACAATCCATATGACCTCAGCAGGGGGATCATCACCAGACAAAGCAAGGCTCACCACCACGTCAGCCTGGAGGTCAGGAGGCCGGTCCCCAACTCGGGGCTGGGCACGGGAGGCCCAGACGCTGTGGGAATGGATGATGGTTGACTAAAGTGCTACTAAAGGGGATGAATGCTAGGGGGTACTCAGAACATTTTCTAACAGGTTTTATGGTAAACATTCCATGAAAAAAAAATAAAGAAGATAAACACAGTGTTTTACACTGTTGTATTTGCTGTGTGTTTGTATATGAACAAAGACCATACGACAATCAGAAGTGATACAGACTATGTAAATGTAACTTAAATTTTTTAAAAAAGGAATGAAACAAGGAGCTTATGATTATCTTTTGAAGTCCTACTTTTCCCAATCTGTATTTAGTCTCATTTAAATATCTCTGAGAGTGTGTTGCTTTGTGGCAGGCCACCAAACATGGGCTGCAGATAAAGATAGGGGAAAAAAAAATCGCCAGCCCCTGGAAAATATATTCAACCAGAATGTTTCTTATTCATGGACTGTGATTCACTGCCCCTGCTTCTGAAGCCAGTATCCTATTCTAATCACATTGCTAGGTTACAGGCCCAGAGTTATACATGCATAACAAAAATGCAATCCATTAAAATGATACATTAGGCTTTCCTCCCCTGTATCATCTCTTCAGGGAGAACATTTGCTCATTATAAAACATACATGATATTGAACTGAAAGATTACTTTGGATCCCCAAACCAAAGAGGTTTCCAATGATTCTTCAACCAGAAAAAGAGCCATGGAGTCAGAATCTGAGAAGTCAAAAAACTCTATCCCCCCCAGGCCCATGCAGGTGGTGCTATTCTGCCCAGACACAGAGAAGCCTTTGCGTAGCTCTATTCTGGAATATGGTCTATTACTGAACTCTCCCCAAAGGACCTCCCCTACACATTTTCTCCTGGGCTCCAAGAAACCATGCTAAGCCCAGTGGACAGGTAAGTTAATGAAATAACACACAGACACATGCACAACTAGTCTCATTTCCTGATTAGCAGCCCTGATAACATAAAACATTCTTCCTGTGGCCTCAGCGTAACCACTTGCTGTCTCCTATTAGCATAATTCACGCAGGTGATCACTATGAGAATACATAACAAGTGAGGACATTTCGAGTTAAGGCTCATGTCTCAGATGGTATTTCTGGTGTGTTTCCATACACATGCAGTCCTCAATTATCAGTGGCGTTTTTTATTACACTCTACAACCAAAACACTGGTTCAAATCACTATGTCGTACACCTGAAACTAATATTGTATGTCAATTGTCATTGAAAAAAATTTTTATTTAAAAAAATAAATAAAACCAAAACACTGGCTGAATAAACTAATTGTATATATTATAACTGAAGAAAGTATTTTGCCGCACATGCTCCAGAACGCCTTGGTACTTGAGAGAAGGGCCCCTCAACACGGTAAGACGAGGACATGACAGCGTCGCTGTGACACAAACCAACGTTAGGTGCAAGATCCGGGCCTGGGAAGGAGGGGAAAACTCCCTGACTGAATAAGCACATTTGGGATCAACAGCCTCAAATCCTTAATAACACTGATGTTACTGCATTTTGGATCTGGTAGCCTCTGAGTTGCAGCCCATGATGAGTCAATGTCTGCCTGAGCCAGACACACACTGAAAGAAAATCACAGTGTTGCCTCCAATACTGTAGTTATTTCATCAATCAAAAAGAAACAACCCTGACTGATGTAGCTCAGTGGATTAAGCGCGGGCTACAAACCAAAGGGTCGGCAGTTCGATTCCCAGTCAGGGCACATCACATGCCTGGGTTGCAGGCCAGGTCCCCTTTGGGGGACAAGTGAGAGGCAACCACACATTGATGTTTCTCTCTTTCTTATGCCCTCCCTTCCTCTCTCTCTAAAAACAAATAAATAAAATCTTTAAAAAAAGAAAAAAAGAAACAGCATCAAAAGTGTTCCTTGCAGATACACAGTATAAAAAAAAAAAAGAGTAAAAAGCACCTGTGGGGGGGGGGAGGGTAAGGAGCATACATTTACAACATCATTTATGATGTTTAAGGTGACCTCAGGTGTGTTAGTGCTAGCTGTCCCCATTGCACATAGGGGCAAACAGAGTCTCTAAGAAGTCAAATAACTTGCCCAAGGACACAACAAGCAAGTGACCAGTCAGAACTCAGGTTTGTCTAATTTTACAGCCAGTGCATTCTACACAGCATCACTGCCACCCAGTTTAACCGCACACTTTGCAAAGGGTTTTGTTTAGAGTTTTCGTAAGAATTCTTACTATGTTTAGGGATTGAAATTTTTACTGGAAGTGAATTCTGACCTTTTACCTAAAAAAGTAGTTACACTAAAACATAACCTTTTGTTAAGGGTCTGGAATATTTTACCATGAACTCTGAGAAGTTTTTAGATTTTCCAAATACAATTTGCAAATATTTACATGAACTAAAACTATATTACCAACTGAAACTAAATAGTTATTTTTGGCTGTTTAAGCCTAAGTTATTCAATAACTAAAACACTAGAATTCAATGATAGAAGAGCATGGGAATATGTGGCCCTCATTATTCAAAATGATCAATTTCCACGCCATACATATGGTCCTTCTGTTTATAATCTTATTTGTGATCAAATGCCAGGCAACAGTTAACCAATCCTAGATGTACCATTCAAGTTCAAAACCCGATCCTAGTTGTGAAAGTGGATTTTTTCTTGAATTAGAAGAAAAATTAATTTACACAAGTTCTGTTGTGAAATGTGCACAAATTTTCTTTTAAAAAAGAATGTGAAAAAGGTAACCTTATATATTATTTCAGCTGTTTCCATATCCTCGTTACTCCAAGAGCATGGAGTATTATATATCTAAAATGCATAATCTCCAATGAGTTCATGCTGTGGCGCTCAGGTACACATATGTTAATTTTCCACCGGGACACCTGGCACATGATATCCATATTAAAGAGTACACAGTGGAGGTCATTAAACAGAACCTGCACCAATGTACCGTACCCACATCCTGAACGACACATTTTCTTTTTCATTAAACCACTTGCTAGTTTAGTTTCTTCCAACCAGAAGGAAAAAAAAAAACAAACCCAAGTCTGTCCACAAAATGTCCTCCCAGCCATGGTGCCCAAATTCACAGCCAGAGTTAAAGGTCTTAAATAGTTAAGTAAACGTAAACCAGGAGCGTCTCTTAAAAAAGAGAGAGAGAGAGAGAGAGAGAGACGTTTTGGACAGCCCCACAGTGTTCTCACATAGGGAGGCAGTCTTTTATTTAAAGTTTTGAAGCGGCTTCACCGCTGTCCCATATGGAGTCTTAAAAAGAGTCCAATTCCCACAGCTTTAACTTGCTTAACGAAATCTTGGGGTACATAATACCAAAAACGTAAGACAGGTAAGCAGGGTAAACTCTTGGGTAAAAATGCTTACTCTCTTCTGATTGCATTCGTTCCCCAAAGTTCTCTCACAGTAAAAGTTCCAACCAGGACCGTAAACGTAAAGACATTCCCTAGCACCTCAGTTACTGGGCCCTTTCAGTCCTTTCTCCACTGCCATCGCCAGGCAGAGCCCGCGCCCACCTATGTGTAAGGTCCGGCAGGTGGCCTTCTGGAGACCCCGAGGTGCCGTCAGGGCGACATAAAGTTGCGCGCAAGGCCGGCCCGGAGAGACGCTGCTCGTGACAGCCACACTGGCCAGCAAGGCCCTTCGGGCGGCGTGCACCTCTGCGGTCCTGGCCACAGCCGTCACTCCGGCCGGCCAGAAGGCGTTCGCTCCCCGCCGGGCGCCTCCTCCTACGCCCGGCCGGAGTCTCAGCCGGGGAGCATGGGGCCTCAAGGCTCCGCTGGTGCGCTGCCGGCTGGAGCCCAGCGAGCCCGGAGATGTCCCTCCACCCCACAATTCCCAGTCACTCACCCTGGGGCCGGGCAGCAGAAGCGCCAGCAGCAGTGGCAGCAGCCGGGTCGGCATGGCGAGAACTCTGTCCTTGCTCGGTCCCGGCCAGCCGGCTCTGGGGGGCGGTGCGGGCGGGCGGAGAAGGGAGGGGGTGGAGGCCGCGACGACAGCGCGGCGGTGGCCGAGACTCAGTGAACGCAGAGCAAACTAGGCGGTGTCGGAACCCCCATTCCCGACCCTTTAAGCGCCGGCTGCGGGCAGTTCTTCCGGCCAGGGCGGGGCGGAGGGCGGGGCCAGCCTACGGGAGGACCCAAGACTGGGATGGGGCGTGGCTATCGTGGGAGGCGGGGTGATAGGCGGGGCCCAGGACGGGACGGGTGTTTGGCTGGCCTTGGTCCGGCGGCCCTCCCCGCTGGACATAACCTAGCCTAGGCGTCCGGCGTCTAGGGAAGCCGAGTGATCGAGTCTAGGAGTTTAACCGAGTGCGGGGAAAGGCCGGCAGCCCAGACACGCGGGCGCGTCCCGTCCCCGATAAGGTCCCACTAACCCCTCTGAGAGACCCACTGCGTCAGATTTAGTCAGGGGAAAGGCCAGGAGACTGGCGGTGCCGGCCGCCCAGAGCCCCGGCTTCGTCCTCCCGCTGTGATGGAATCATCCGCGACCCCCGGAGTGAGGGACATCGGCTGACGGAGGATTCCAGTAAACACAGCTCTTCTGCCCTACGCCCAGCAGTCGCCTAGTACACAGCCCTGGGGGTCTTCCAGCTGTGAATCAGCTAATCTGAAGGTCCCCCCTTTTTTGGCCCTCAGGAATTCCCCTCAAAGCATGTCCAACAGCCATCAGTTCCTTTTGCAATGAACGACAGACAAATCATTTGCCAAAAATTATTTTTAAAAAAGGAAACCATTTCGGTTGCTGGTATCATGGTTTTTATGTGGCATCTGTACATGTGACCTCCTGTTGGGCTGACATGTGTCACAACTCATTGGGGGAGTGGGTGTGCGAAAGTGTCAAACAAGGTCTATATGAGGGTTATGGGCTATTAACTTGAATTCAAGAGCCCAGGAGCTGTTTGGTCACAGGGTCCCACGCTGCCCTCCACTTAGAAGAGAGGACAGAGGACGTATTGTTTGAAATGAGTAGACTAAGATTCAGACAACACTGATAGATCCTAGGAGAAAAAAAGGGGGGGTAGCGGGATAGTAACTTCTCTAATGTTTCCTGACTTGCTCATAATACAATGCAAGATTTTTCAAGGTTTGGGGAAAGGAGTAAGAATGCTAAAGAAAATAGCAAAGAAGTAATGGGGCTAATGACCCAATATCTGGTCTGTGTGCACTGTGAGTCAATCCTGTGCAACCGTAACAGAGAAATGTTTGTTGTAAGCCAAAATCCTGTAAGCAGAGTTCCCTATTCCCACCCACCCCCTGCCGCCCCCCATGCCAGGCCACAAAGGACTAGTCCCTCCCTACCACCGCCTGAGAATCCAACATAGCAGCTTAAGAGCAGTGTGAATCTTGGCAACTGTGAAAGTGGCAAACACATTTTGAAAAGTGCTATCTGCATGTCTAAATGCAGAGAGGTTTGGAATGGGTAGAGAGATGGGTTAAAACAGAGGCCACATCACTGCTGAGCAGAGTGGCCACATGCCCAGGGAGGGCCCTGTAATGATGACCTGGCTAGTTTCCAAGCTGACAAACAACAGGATCTGGAAGACCCCCTGAGTTGGATGAGAAGCTTGACTGGAAGTTGCCACTTTCACATCCTTTCTCTGGACCTTTTTCTCAAACAGTAAGTCTAGGAGAGGAACTTTCTGTGCTGAAACTGTGGCAGCCCTTTGACAATGCAAAATGTCACTGTGACCTTGGAAGCACCAGCGGATGAAACACAAAGGGTAATGCTTACCTTGATCTGACTCATAAATCAGTTTTAAAGGTCCAATAAAGCAAAAAAACAAAAACAAAAACAAAAACAAAACCCACTCCATGGAGCCTGGATTAGGTAGGTATATTTATCTTACACTCAGCTGGACCAAACCCCCAGACCTTAACTGCTCCATTGTATGTTCTCACAATTTCCTATGCACCATTTGGGTTGTTCTTACATTTAATCTGTTGACATGTTTTATGCAGTTCACTTGACTGGCAACTCACACTGATAAGCTATGGTTTTATTTATGGCAACATTGTCCATAGCCACACATTGCTAAGTTTTTCTTTTGCTTATGAAAAACTAAAAACTACAAACAGAAATGAAAATATTTTGTAGGGTGCTTTTGGAGTAGGCCTACCCATATTATAGACCTTTCTGGAAGTCAAATTAAATAGCAACCTCTAAGCAGGGCAAAGGTCATGGTCTTAATGTAAAGATAAACACTCCTTTTGCAACAAGTACAACAAGTAAAAAAATAAGTACAAATATAAACATATACATCACTGTGAGCTGAATAGTATATCTGAACCATAAGTAGTGGGAGAGATTTAGTTAAAATCTTATTTTCACTTCTCTCTGAAACAGTGGTTCCCAAATTTGGAGAGCTTTTAAAAAACTGATTTCTAACACCTTTTCATGCCCTCGTCCCTCACTGACTCGGAATCTCCAGGGATGGTGTCCAAAGATTGTGTGTTTTCTAGTTTCCGCAGGTGACTCGGCACCCAAGATCCTGGGATCCAGCGTACTCACCTCGTCCAGTGTTAACCCCTGTGTCGGGGACAGCCTTTTATGTATTTTAGTAAATGTCGCCCTCTAGTGGAACAAATTATGACCTAGCCTTGTTTATGCCTCGTTTCTGTTTAAAATCCTTCAAATTTTCATTTAAAAATGATTATGAGATTGGTTTGCAGAGAGCTATTTAGTGAGAGGGTGGCTCCCTTTCAAAGAAAAATCTGGTAAAACCTAAGAGGGAGGTCATGGCTGAAAACTCCAGTAACATTTGAAAGGAAGAGTGTCTGTCAACGTAAGTTGGCTCTTAACTTCTTTTTAGTGATCCTGGTGCTGTCACTGAGCTTCCAAACACACTTGAACTCACAGCACATGTGGAGTAATTGTGGGAGAAATGGAAGGATGATGCAAGAGTGTCTGGTGGCGGGCTAACTTCCCATCTCCTTTGTGTCCTGACATTTAAGAGAAATTGAAGAAAAGCCACTGTCGCTGTGAGCAGCTTGGTTTGATTTTGATGTGAAAACATTGTGCCACTCATTCTGAAGAACTTCTCTTTGCCACAGAATCTAACCAACTACATACTTCCTTGTATCACAATAGTGAGTTTCTTCTTATCGCAGTTACTATTTATTGGCTGCTTGCTATTGTTTGGAAATGTGCAAAAACACATGTTTTACACAGGGGATCATCTCCCCTCATCTGCACAGCAGTTCTCTGAGGTGGGTGTTACCAGCCCCATTTTCCAGATGCCACACAGAAATCTGAAAAGGTTAATAGCTGGGAGGGTAACACACAGCTAGTGAGGGGCACAACCTCGATTAGAGCCCAAGTACCTACATGACTTCAGAGCTTGTCCGAGCCACCTTAGGTGCTAGAATGTGGTCCGCCATTAGCTGATTGTTATTCTTGCCCTCCCACAACATCATGACAAGGTAAATTTAGGTGACTTGTAGGTGTAGTTAAGCAGTAGCACAGATTGGCATGTCCCTGGAATATTAATGACAACCAGAAGTTTATACAAATATATGGTAAAAGGGGCACTGTCTCAAATGACATGTAAGTCTCCTGATCTTATCTGGGGGTTGTGCAAAAGAATATAAGAAACCAAGCAGACGTCTGGGAGAGAATAGCGAGCTTCCTGCCCTGGTGGGTAGTTCAGTCCAATCCTAACTGATTATTTGTTCTGTTTCACGCCCATTTGTGCCAAGTCTGTGTCACCATGGTGTCCATGGTGTCACCAGTATGTTAGTATTCTCAAAGGCCCAGCATAGCACCATTGTGGAAACTGTCCTCTCAGCGTCTCCACTTTCTCGATGGCTAGTACCTCCTAATCCCCTGGGGTCTGGCTTAGTTTCACAGAACTCTCTGGAAACACCTGTCCTGAAGCAGTTCATAAACATTCTTCCTCTCGTAAAATCTCAGAGGCCACGCTTCATCTTTTTTGCCATAGGCCTCTCTTCGGGTTAAGTGTGTTAACTATTCCTTTTCTTGAACTTTTGCACCTTCAATATTACCATTCTCTGGCTCTTTTTTTTGCCTTCCAGACTGTGTTTTTTTGTTTTTTTCCCCTCATTTTTATGTTTGGCTCTTTCTTGATTTGCCAATTTTCGTTTTTTTAATTATTGTTGTTCAGTTACAGTTGTCCCACCTTTTTCCCATTGCTCTCCTCTGTCTTGCCTCATCAACTGTGTTTTTCAAGACTTATTGTCTACCTTACCCACGTTTCTCAAGGCTTAGTATGTTTACCTTACCCATTCTATTTCCTTTTATGTAGGGGAGTTCATTCATAGACATAACCAAATGTTAGAGCAGAAAGGAACTTTACCTATAATTTAATCAGCTTCATTTTGGAGATGACTTCATCTTTGACCTTTACGTGTATGACTACCACTCATTCATTTTTTTAATCCTTGCCAAGGACTTTTTTTTTAAAGAGACAAGAAGGGAAAGAGAAAGAGGGAGAGAAACACTGATGTGAAAGAGAAACATTGATTGGTTACCTCCCGTACCCACCTAGACTGGGGATCAGACCTGCAACCCTTCGGTCACAGGATGACACTCCCACCAACTGAGCCACACTGGCCAGGGCTGGCCCTTCATTCATTCTTTTAACAAGTATCACCGAGGGTCTCTGAGTACAAAGGGTTGGTACCATGAAGGAATATCACAAGAGTTTGCAAGTGGGGGAAAGTGATGGGACATGCACAGAAATAACCAACATACAAGGCTGGCTATGAAGTATGAGAAGGCAGGAACAAACTCAAATAGAACTACGGTGTTCAAGACAGAGACAGGTCTCGGGGAAGGAAGGGAGTGGGAAGGACACAGTGGAGAGGGCTTCATGGAAGAAGCGGCATGTGTGCTGGGCCTTTTGCCAGATTTGACAGGAGAAAGCATACCCTGGGGGTAGAAGACCTGAACAGAGGCTTGGGGTAGGGAAGCACTGTGGGGGAGCCCAAGCTGACTCATCACTGAGCATGTGCTTGGCTTCTACAGGAAGGAGCAGTGGGAGATGAGGCTGGCTGGGAAGACAGGCAGGATGGTCCAGCGGGTGGAGGGCACTAAAGTCAGACTGGGCTCTCTCTGGTAGGCAGCAGTGGGACAGGACTGAAGTTGTGTTCCAGGGGGAGAGTCAGGGGAAAAGGCAGGCGTTCCAGAGACCATTAGGAGACTTCATCTAGAGCAAAAGAAGGAGGGGACAGGAGAGATCCAAGAGACCTTGCCGAAGCAGAACGGCAAGCATTTGACTGGTCCAGTTACATAAACAAGAAGACTGAGAAGGAATTCAACAATCGTTTGTCAGACGTTTTCCACGTTCAAGGCGCTGTTCTCACTGCTGGGACCAGCGAGGGAGCGAGTACACAGGAGTGGGGCCAGCTCTGTGAGAGGGGCAGGTATGCCATCTGGTGTGGACAGACCTGTTGTCTGTCCCCTAGTGCGCACCCACCCAGGCTGGCCCAATCATATTCCTCTGTGGTGACAGCCACCCAGCGATGGCCCCAAACAATACTTTCTCTCCTCCGTGCACATGCGGCTCTGCCCACCAAAAGGTAGGGCTTATTTCTCCTCCCTTTCAATCTGGGCTGGGCCTCTGACTGGTTTTGACGAGGAGTGACATTCCGGGACATCCCAGTGCAGGTTTAAGAGGCCTGGCAGCTTCCATTTCCTTCTTTTTACAATACTAACTCTCGGATGCTCCCTCTTGGAAGCATATGGAGCTTATGGAGAAGCCAAGCCTCTCATACACAGGCCACGTGGAGAACAGAGTTTCTCTGATCAACAGCTCCAGCTGAGCTCCCAGCTGTGAGGCATCTGGCTACGCCATCACAAATGTTCCAGCCCAGTCAGGCCCCTGAGTGACCTCAGCTGATACACAGAGCCGAAGGACCTCCCAGCTGAGTCAGTTAACCCACAGTTCATTCTGGGAGAGATAATAAAATGGCCGTTGTTTTCAATCACTGAGTTACAGAGTGGCTTGTTGTGCAGTAACGGAGAGCCAAAGCAGCTACCCATCTGGCCACCTTCACCTGAGTCACAGGTAGTCTTTACCCACTCTGACTCCAACTGGTACCATGAAAAGAGACTCATTTCCTTTCCAGCAGCAAAGCCAGGTATGAGACCCAGCAGCCACCTCCATCCTGTAAAGAAAGCCAATTCCAAAGCAAGAGGATGACAGACAGAAGCATGGATGCGGTCAGGGAGCCCTGAAGGAGCCTGAGCTCTGATTCTAGTTGGTGTGAGACCAGCCTGCCCAGCTCTTCTCCTCCTTTAGCCAAACCTTCCCCCAATTACTGAGCTGGGTTGAGTTGGGTTCCCAGCACTAAAATCAACAGAGCCTGAGTGAAACCCTGGCTCAGCATTTCTAAGGGCACCAAATCAACAGGATCTATGACTACACCTGGCCTATGGCCAATGCTAATACCGTTTTATACACACCACAATGGCAAACATATAAAGTCTGACAATATCAACGATGGGTAGGGGGTAGGCCATGTGGGAACACAAATTAGAGCATGTATTCTGGAAAATAATTTGCTAGTATCTAGAAAGTTGGAAATGGGCCCACCCTCCCACACAGCAATTGTTCTTCTATGTACATACCCCAAAGGAACTTGTTCACACATAAGAATATTCAAAGCAGCTTTGTAATAGCTTGTAATAGCAAAAACTGGAAGCTATTTTAAACATCTAAAACAAAGAGAAGAGATGTGTAAAGAGAAGAGTAATTGTGCACTGAAATGCTACGCAGCCGTGAAGCTGGTTGCATGACTACATTACCAGTTGCACAACTACATTACCGGTTGCATTCCATGCAGTGACATGAATGTGACCACTATTCACAATAAAAAGAACAAGTCACAGAAGAATATATACAGTACATTATATTTCTACAAAGCTCAACATCAAGCAACACTAAGTAATATACAAATATATGAACAAAAACTAAAAAGAAAAGCAAAACAAGACAAACTCAAAATTCAGGACAGCAGTTTTTCTCTGAGTGAAAGAGAATCAGGAATAAGAAGTTGGCCCTGGCTGGTGTAGCTCAGTGGATTGAGCATGGGCCTACGAACCAGACTATCGCAGTTCAATTCCCAGTCAGGGCACATGCCTGGGTTGCAGGTCAGTTCCCAGCAGGGGATGCAAGAGAGGCAACCCTACACTGATATTTCTCTCCTCCCCTACCCCTCTAAAGATAAATAAATAAAATCTTAAAAAAAAAAAGGAATAAGAAGTTGTTGTCAAAGTTACTGATGATAACCATCATTTTTCTTACACTAAGTGGTAAGTATATGAATATTCAATTAATTATCTCCAAGCCATACATATACTTTACATGTATTCTTGGATGCAGAGATAATTCATAAAATTTTAAAATGAAATTTTAAAAGGCAAATATTATCACACTGGGCTAAACACTATGATCCAACCATATGCCTAACACAAAGGACATATTAGCCAAAATAACATGGAAAGGTTAAATATGGAGGAGTGGGCAAAGTTCTATCAGACACATACTGGTCAAAAAAAAAAAGACACAAGTAGCAATGCTAATCTAACGTAAGATGAATTAGAACTCCAGGCAAAAACTATTACAGCTTAGTGTGTGATCTTACACATAAATATATGTGATCCACAATGGAAGTATTACCAGCCACAAACCATAATGGGATAAACAGCATAGCCTCAAAATACATAAAGCAAGTAATAAAAATAATCAAGGAAAATGACTGAAGCATAATTTCATGTTAATTTTTTATTTTGAAATTTCACACAGTAAAACTAAATCTTTTGGGTGAACAGTTCTAAGTCACCGCCACCACAGTCAAGAGACAGGACGGTTCTATCACCCTCCACAGGGCCTTCACGCCTTCTTTTTTGATCAGATAACCCCACACCCCCAATTCTGGAAACACTTTGATTTGTTTTCCACCCTTGTAGATTTGTCTTTTCTAGAATGTTATGTAAATGGAACCATCTTTGGAGTCTGGGTCCTTTCCCTCAGCACACCTTTGAGATTCTTCCAAGTGTTGCATGTGTCAGGAGATCATTTCTACTTTATGGCCGAGCAGCATCAATTGTACGGCTGCACTACGGTTACTCACCGTGCTTACCATTCACCCAGTAAAGGGCTTTGGGGTTGTCCCAGTCTGGGAGGAATTACAAATAATGTTATAAACGTTTGTGGACAGGATTTTGGGGGGAACATAAATTTTCATTTCTCTTGGGTCAAAACCTAGGGATAGCTAAGTCATGTGTATGGTAAGAGTATGCTTAACTTTATAAGATAACTTTCTCTGATTTCTTTTCCAAAATGGCTGTACTATGTTGTGTTCCCAAATAGTAATGCAGCAAAGTTCTTAGCTTTGCATCCTCGCCAGCATCTGGTATTTGAAGCACAATCTTAATACATCCCCAGCAGTCAGTGACAGCGCATACGATCACAATGGGGCATAAAAACACAGAGATGTGGACAATACAATTACAACACAGCTAAGCGTGAGTTAATAACAAATATTTCATGTCAGTATTTGCACATGAGAGTGAAAACAGTTTCATTTCAAGAATTTGGGGAAATAAAAAAATAGATAGGCCATAAAAAAACTTTAATATGTTTCCCAATGTAGAAATTTTACCACAATGGAATAAATGTTGAAATAACAAAAGTTTAAACAGCAATAAAAATAATCATAAAGAAGTTACAGAACACCTGCCAAAATAATTATTACTTTGAAATAAAAAGGAATTTTAAATATAACTTAAGACTTAAAAAATAGTAAGAGGCCCATTAAACTACAACTTGTAGGTTGAAATATATTCATCACTACAAAAGAGAAAAATTTCTTATTATGAGCAAAAAAGAAAAAAAAATTCCCAAGGAAAACATATGACGGAAAAGAAGATAACCAGAAATCGTGACCGCTCACTGTTCCTTTTCCCTGTTCCTTGTCCCTGTAAATCAAACTCTTAGAGGACAGGATCATATTCCTATTATCCACTGGTGAACAGTGCTGGCTCACAGTATGAGCTCAATACTCAGAAGCACTTTTAGCTTTCCCAGAGTTTGGCCTTCTCTCCTTTGGGCTTCCACAGTAGGCTGCTATTTAAGCATTTATTAAAGTATTGCAATCACACTGTCCTTTAAAAACAAATATTTGTTTAGCACTCAGAATGTGCCAGGAGATTGAGTTACTTCACTTAATTATTACAACTTTTTTTGGATATTCTTTTTCAGAAACTGAGGCTCAGAAAGGTTAGGTGATCAAGATCATAGAGCAAATTCATCACACAGTCAGGACTTGGTGACACACAGTTCTACTGTCACACACAAGCTCTTTCTACCGGAAGAGGTTACTCGGAATTCAGGGGCAAGGTTAGTTTGTCACTTTTGTATCCTCAGCTCCTAGCCTAGTTCCCGGCACGGAATATCTCAAACAAATTAGGCATTACTTGCGTTCTGTTGTTTGTAAAGTTTGCTCTTGTGGAGAGGAAATGCGCTAAATAACAAATCGGCGATCGAGATGTGGAAAGAAATCGGGAAGAATTAGGACACTTGCTGACTCAGTCCTTCCTTGCTTCCCATCTCCATGGTTGGCTTGTAACCATTCAGTATTCTGGAGGACTCAGCGAGGATGGCCAATCATTAGGCCATCTTCCAGGCACGTGGCCGGAAGTTTGACTTTCTATTCGTTAATCATGGTAAAGGCCCGCCCAGCCCACTCCTTTAAATAGAAGTCGGAGGCTCCTCTCTTTCTTTTTGCGGCTGTGAAGCTGGGGAGGTGAGGCGTCTTAGGTTGTCGGTTGTGGCCAGTCGGCCCCGGTGGGAGGCGGATGGGAGGCGGGTGGCCGGCGGTGATGACGATTATATCAAAGCACGTGTTAGACTGCTGACAACGGTGATGCGAACTGGAGTCTGAGCCTGGCCGCCGTGGTGGGGAGGAGGGACCGTAACAGCGGGGGCACATCTGCTTATCCGCCGCTTTTGTTCTTGCAGATCCCAGCCAGGCCAAGCACATCGGATCTTAGCATCCCAGCCTTTCCACTCTCAATAAAATGGTTTGACCCCAGTGCTGGTGTCGGTTTTATTCGTGGTGACGCGCTGCCTTTGAGCCCCCGCTGCGCCTGCGTGTGGTGTCGGGGGTCAGGCTGCAGCGCCAGAGCAGGAGCTTGCGCATAACTGGGGCCGACTGCTCCTCGGCTGGCGGCCTTTTTAACCGTGAGCGACATGGCAGCACCGCACTGCTGGGGGTGGGTTTTCCGGGGGTTGGAACGACCCCGTCTTTAAAGCTAAGGGTGAAATGATGTAAGGGAGAGGTCGGGGGATCCTGTAGGCTCTGCTGCCTACTGCCCTGTAAGCCCTGACTCTAGTCTTGATAGGGGCAACTTAAGTTAACCAGGGAATGGATGGCGGTAGAGGAGCGAGACTGGACTGTGGCCTTAAGCGCTTTAAGGGTGTGGTTGTGTGAGAGGAATTTGATCTGGCTAAGGTGTATCTCGGACATTTTTACAAAAACTTCCAGTTAGGGCTAACGGCTTATTTGGATACTATGTCGAATTTGGGGCTAAAGTGTTAGGCTAATAAATGCCCCAGTTCACAACAGGGTAGTTGTGGAGGTTAGAGTTTATGCATTACTGGGCACAATACAGCACCTAAAATGCATGATCACTCCTTTGTAGTCCACATTCTAGGTGATGAACGATCTCTTGCCTGGGCTTAGATTTAATGTGCATTCGTTCTAAGTACAAGGAAGCACATGTACAAGAAGCCACATAAACTGCTTTGGCAAATGGAGGGGGTGCCCCAAGGAACAGGACTCCTGGGCAATACAGTTCAGGATTGGACCCCCATTACATGTAGATTGAGAATAGTGTCCAGCTCATGTTAGGTGTGATGAGGGGTAACCTGGGGTCCTTGAGGTGCTGGCCCAGTGGTCATCCAGGAAATAGACACTGCTACTGGCAGTTTAGGGCCCACAAGCCCTGTATCCACCGGTTATTCTGTCCCTATCTAAGGATTCAGTAGAAATAACTTAAGATGCTTTTGGCTAGTATTTGACATGAGATAATTTATTTTGTGAAACAATGCAAGCGATTGTAAATCCCCATATACTAAATTAAGTGCAATAGGGTACAGTCGTGTGATCTCTACACAGTAGTGCATCTAGTCCTTTGCCTTTAGTTATTGCACAGAAATTATAAAGACCAGTGAACAAGACATGCGGACTGACTGGCAAACTGGCTTACACAATGAGAAATTAGAACAGCACACCGACTGGAATGGTCAGATTTAAGTCAAATGGTTTAATGGTGCAATTAAAGTCATCAAATAAGGGTTCGATTTTTTTCAATATATTAATTTAAAGTCACGTTCAGGCAAGGTGCTGTTTAAAAAAAAACCACTATTAGCTTAGTACACATGTAAATATCAAAATTTACCCAAGGTAATTTTGATGTTGAATGCAGCTTTAAACAAATCATTTTAAATGTACTTCTCAAAGCAAATTATACAATGAGGCAAGGCCTCCACACTTGTAAACTAGACATTCTGACACAAATGCACAAATTAAAGTTGGCAACATTGAAGAAATGTCATTAACTTTGAGAGATGTAGTGTTTGATGTTGAGCAAACTTTTGGTCTTGACTCACAATCAGAGGTGTTCTGTTTGTGCCACCAGAAAGCATCCTGAACCCATTAGATGAAGAGGGCCTTTAGATGACCTGTGTGAAATTTCCTGGAACACTAAAAAAGGTGATCTGATCACATGGTGTGTGACATTTTCACATATGCTCATTTCAGGAAACCATTTGGGATTAGAACCAGGTGATTGTACCTCATTGGTAAAAGGCTTGGGATGGTTTGAGCTCATGGCTTTGCCTAATGTTCACAGAAATCTCACTGTCCCCACCCCAGCTGATAGTGTGTTAGTGTATGTTCTATGGCTACTTGCTTCCAAAATGCACAATTTAATATGAAGAAAAGTTGCTATGCACACCTCATTATCACCAATGAAACTCCACAACATTTCATCCCCACCCTCCATGTGTTATCACACTGACATTCAGAATGTGGAGGGCTGCACCATGTACAGACTAGGAGTGAGAAAATGTTCTGTTTGTGCTCTGGCTGCCTGAGGAAAAGCTTTGGAGTTGAGGCAAAGGGAAGGAAGCCTTCCAGTTGCAGCTTTGCTCTTTATGTGCTCTTTCGCTGCCACGAAAACTGGTAGACTTAAAAAAAACCTTGGTGCAAGTCACGTAACCTCTGGATCCACCACGATGATTCTTCCAATCTCCTTTGAGTCAAAGCTTTGCAGTAGGCAATCCAGACACCAGTCACTGAACACATGGAATGACACCACCTCACAGTGGAATGGGCACTGGCAGGCAGAGGGCAGAAGCTGTGGCACGAGGAAAAGCCTGTGCTACAGCACAGATGGCAGCCAAGAATCCCACACCTGGAGCTAGATCTCGTAATACTGGCAACGTCAGGTCTTCACCCATCACAGCTGATCAGAAGCCTCCGTGAGCGGGTCTTTCAGGAGGCAGGAAGTGGAGCGAGGGTCCATGGCCGAGTGCATTATAGGGACATAGACGTCATCCATGTTTGGCATAACAAAAACTTTCTGTAGGGAGAAGGAACAGCCACGTGGGAAAAACGCTTTGCTTTTTCAGGCTGCCACCCTCCCTACAATGATCACTTAGGCTTTAGACAAGTTTTTAAAATACAGGTGAAACAACACCCTACCCATACCAAGGTAATTCTACCATATTTAGAAAGAACTGAGCAATCACATCAGTGTGTGAACACAAGAACCCGAAAAAGTCAGCCCTGAAGGCAAAAACCACCTTTCATTTCATGTGCACATAATAAAATTATCCATAAACTGACAAACAGATTCAACGTTATTTTAAGAGAATTGGCTTAAGCTGCTCATAACATTTCTAAATTATTATATCCAGAAGCCATAGTTCATGGGATTTATTCACTTAAATCTAGCAACAAACTACATTTTTTAAAAACCAGAACCAGATAAAAAAATCCTACTAGAGTGAATAGCCAAAGGATAATCAGTGACTGATAGTAAGGTGCTTTGCCTGTTCATGAACTAGTTTGATATTAGTTTGATATTAGTGAATTTGGCCAATGCATTCAACCTTCAGTAATGCTCTCTTCCAAAAGTGTAAACGAACCGAAACAGGTGGCTATGGGAGACTGCAGCAGTTCACCTTCAACTTCCCAATTTGCCTCAAAAAGACCAGGCACCAAGCTGCCCCCTTGTCCTTTACCTCTTTGTACCTCAACTGCCCTAAAAGATGACCCACTGAAATTCCTAATGCAGAGTCTAGGACGATAGAAAAAGGTTTTTTTGTTTTAAGATTTTACTTATTTTTAGACAGAGGGGAAGAGAGGGAGAAAGACAGAAACATCTATGTGTGGTTGTCTCTCATGCCCCTTACTGAGGACCTGACCCACAACCTAAACCTGGGCCCTGACTGGGAATCGAACCAGCAAACCTTTGGTTGGCAGGCTGGCACTCAAGCCACTAAGCCACACCAGCCAGGGCAAGAAAAGTTTTTAAAATGGGGGCAAGGAAAAAAAAAAAGCACTTTCCTGTTTGGTGATACAAAGCTTTCCAGAAATTGGTTTCCAGTTATATTTATAGCTTTAAAATAAAAATACAGTGTTGAAGGCAGTAACTCAAAACATACCACTGCAAAACTACATGGGTCTTGTAAAGGTGAAATTCAGTATCAAGTAAATGAATTGCTAATCCATAAAATCTTGGAATATAAATGTGCCTCAAATATCTGATTAAAATTTGTTTGAAAAAGAATAGCTCATCCCAGGCTTCAGCTACATTGCTATTAACCTTTGGTGGCCAAATGCAGACGACAGACTTGGAGAATGAGCTCTGGCTTAGTAAACTCCAGGTCTGCCCTAGATCCACAGGGCAGGGGCAGGCCTGGTGCATTTTTAGGTTCTCAGGGTTGGGACAGCTGAACACAGAAGGGTTTCCATGGGAACTGAACAAGGTGAGCAAGGTGGGTAATACCTAGGGCAGGAGCAGCTCCGCTGACCACTGGTGGGCAATACTAGCCAGCCACCTGCAGGGCCCACGGAGTCAGAGAGCTTACCCTTCACCAGGCGCACTGGTGCAAGAGAGTCATTTTGCTCTCTGACCCCTCCTTTCAGGTTCCTTTTTTTTTTTAAATAAAGATTTTATTTATTATTTATCTTTAGAGGGTAAGGGAAGGAGAGAGGGAGAGAAACATCAATAGGTGGTTGCTTCTCATGCGTCCCCTGCTGGGAACTGGCCTGCAACCCAGGCATGTGCCCTGATGGTGAATCGAACCGCGATACTTTGGTCCGCAGGCCCGCGCTCAATCCACTGAACCACACCAGCCAGGTCTGGTTCCTTTTTGAAGACTGCTTAATAGGGCGCTGTGGATGAGTTTTTGGAACCGTATCTGAAATTTTAGAGCTGTCTGATCATATGTGTACTTTCCTGGGATGAGGGTCCTCAGAGGAGGCCTCTGACGCACACGAAGCAGAGCCTCTGTTCGCTGCCTGGAGCTTTCAGCCCCAGCGTGAAACACCAGATGACACTGCAGGTTTACCTGAAACTCCTGCTCCAGTTTCTTCTCTATCCAGTCTGTCACATGAACTAAAGTCACCTCTCTCTCTCCAAGTTTTGGCCGAGCTTTCAGCTCTACATATGGTGGTTTCCGGAAACCGTACCTTTAAAAAAGAGAGAAGACAAGGAATAACCACATTTAGAAGCAAAGAAAGGAAGCAGCTAAGTACCAACAACAAACATTCCTCATTTACACACGCCTTTATCACCACTTAATCTTATTCTGATAATTGCCTCTAAAAATAACACAGCACGCAAGAATGAACCGTGAACTCCCTGTGTCCC